GGTACCAGGGATCGAACTCATGACTACCTGCTTGCAAGGCAGGCGCTTATGCCGCTGAGCTAAATCCCCAGCCCAAAAAATCTTAATGATTATCAAATGCCGAAATTTTATTGTGTAGCTGCAACCAACAAAATTAGAAGGTAGTATCAACAGCAGTGTTAAATACAGAAGGAGAACTCATTTGTGCATGATGATTATTTACAGGAATTCTGTGAACAGTGTAGGAGTCTCACTTTACAACTGAGGTCAGTGGTTCCAGAGAGGTTAATGACTTGCCAAGATCACACAGTGGCAATCAGGTTTCCTGACTTTTTAGTCTGATGTTCTTTCCAACATAGAACATACCTGGGTTTAATAAATATACTACCACAGTAGCCAGTGCTGTAATTAAATGTTAGAAAATCACTCAAAGGTCTTCATATTAGATGTGCTAATACTGAGTTTTGTCAGAATTAGTAGTTATGCTCAGTCTCTGTTTTTAAAAGACATGATGTAATTTTTCATCCTTTTACCTGTGTGTTCTCGGAATTCTACCATGGCCTTCATTGTTTTAGAATCTGCTAATGCCATCAACCAGAACAATTTGGTTCTACCACAACCTTCATGAAGATCAACCTTTATAGCTTCTTCCTCTTCTTTGAAGACCTATTGTTTCATTAAAGCATAGGAAAATATATTCATTTATCATCCTGACAGAAGTATAAAATTTAATTAACCATAAATATCGGCTTTCATTTATGAAGTGCATATAGGAAGTTTCAGATATTTCAAATATTCTTTTTAATTTTCACACCATATCTATTTTAATTAACGTAGAACTAAGCCTCAAAAGGTAAACCAATTTGCTCATTTTACAGCTGCTAAACGAACAAAAGAGAACTCAACTAAGGGCAATAATTCCCAGCTCCCCTTTTCCCTATTCTTTTCCACATTTATTTCAAAGTTTGCTGAATTTTAAATTTCATGCTCTAGACACTGATTTGGCTATAAAGACTGAAAACTTTACCTGTCTTTGATGAGTTTTGGTTCGCCGATGAAGATGAAGGAATCTATCACAGTCAGTACACAGATTTCCACATACATTGCATAAAATGATAGCTGCAGTTTCACCATCATCATGGTTATCACACATTGGCTAAAAGGAAATATTTTCATACTACTTCAAATTAAAGCTTCACACACTCATATAAACAATACAACTGTATTTATTTACATTGGTACCTTGGTACTCATCATTAATTGGTTCTAGGAGGCATGAAGAGTACCAGAGGGCGGGGTATTTAGCTCAATGGCACAGCACCTGCTTAAGCAAGTGCAAAGTCTAGAGTTTGATCCCTGATACCAAAAATACCAAACCAAACCAAACCAAACCAAACAAAAATAGTACCAGAAATGACAGGTACCAAGCAAATTGTTTTGGCTAGAAAGGATAAGTGATTTATGAGGCAAATTACAACAATGAATTCTAACTTGTGGACTGAATGCCAAACAAATGATGAACAAACTTTTCATGTCAAAATGTGTCGAATACCACATTTGAATAGTTTCAAAGTAGTTGATTACCGAGGTATTGTATAATAACAGATTTACTCTAAAATCTATTAAGATTTTTAGAGTCTCAGTGTTAAAAGAATTATGACAAGTATATTTCATTACAAAATCTCTTAAAATCGTTGAGTGATTAATGTGCTCTGCAGGAAAATCTTCCTAGAATTCAAATTAATGATTAATTTACTTAATAGATTGAGTGATTAGTCAAATGAACTTGTATACTTTGCTTAATAACTTAATAATCATCCCATTATATATCTAAACATTCTGTGTGATGATTCAGGTTTTTCAAACTTCAGCAATAAAAATGTTGAAAGTATCCTACATGTTTTCTCTTTTAGTGAACTTAAAGATACAAAAAAAAAAAAAAAAAAAAAACCAAACAAAAAAACCCTGCTTTAAGTACATCTGCTTATATATAATATTTTATGCTGCCTCTGTATCTGCTTTATTTTTTCCTTCCATAAGTCCAATCAAATTCTAGTACTAAGTCCACAATAAAATCAGAGTCTGGCTATAAACACTTTTTTTTTCTTCTTTTCTTTGAGGTGTCAGGGATCAAACCCAGGAATTTGCACATGCTAAGCAAGGACTCTTATCACTGAGTTACACTCTCAACTTTATAAACACATTTTGATGTAATGCAAACATGACACAAATTGCCAAGTGTGGTGGCACACACCTGTAATCCCAGCTCTCATGAGGCTGAGGTAAGAGGATCACCTTGAGATTGAGGCCATCCTGGGCTACAAAATGAGTACAAGGCCAGTCTAAAGTATACAGTAAAACTCTCAAAAAAAAAAAAAAAAGAAAAAGACACACACACACACACACACACACACACACACACACACACACACACGGAGAAAGCTTTTTTATAATTGAATAAAGTCCCCTAAAGTTTCTTATATACTATTACTCTAAATGAAATTGACTTGTAGGATGAAATATTTTGTTTTATTTTCCTTTTTTTGAGTCCAGGGATCAAGAAATAATAGGCAAGCTCTCTGGAACTGAGCTATTTCTCCAGCCCTTTTTGAGAAAAAGCCTCACTAGATTGCCCATGTTGGCCTTCGACTTTTGGTTTTCCTGCCTCAGCCTTTGAAGCTGCTCGGGATTAGGCATACATCATCAGGTCCAGTGTTTATTTATTTACTTTAATTTTTGCAGTGCTGGGTAAACAACTTAGGACTTCATGCATACCAGGTAAGTGCTCTGCCACTGAGTCACAGCTCCAACCCCTTACATTCCTATAATTCTGATCTTACCATTTGTTTTTGTTGTCCATCCTTTCCCATCCACCTTCCTGAGGAGAGACGATCTACATGGTCTTGATCAAGAACACACAGTGATGCTAAAGCAAGCCAGAGCTGTTGAGAGGAAAAGCTGTTAGATGCTCAAGTTTTAGGAAATACTTAGAAAATGCTAACTCATACATGACAATAGCTCAATAGATAGTTGGCTGAATCTGAAAATACAGACACCTGGTGGCAGCACTGAGGATTTCATGATGTGGCACATATTGCCATATGTGACATACAGTAGGCATTCATATATGTACTGAATAAATAACTGTATCTCTAATGAACCATCCTGTTTTCTGACAAATAAAATTATCCTTTATTGGCCTACTATGTAAACCATTCATGTATTGAAATAAATGAATTTACATATTAATTTTACTTTATCAATGCCTTCTGAATGCTATTCCATTTATTTATTTGTCTTTTTCATTTTTATCGGTACCGGGGATCGAACACACGACCACCTGCTTGCAAGGCAGGTGCTTATGCCGCTGAGCTAAATCCCCAGCCCCACTATTCCATTTATTATCATCTACCTAAAGCATTAAATTCCAAAGGAGGTGGTAAATGGCCATTTACTTTTGAGTAATTTAGTACGTATTAATAATTCTTCTAGATAATAACAATTCCTTGGAACTATAGTCAACTTAGAAACAAATTTTAACAAACTTTAGAAAACTTCCCCCAAAAGTGGTTTCTGAAGCTTCAGTTTTTATACAAGATGACATACTTCTTCATTAATGAAAAAACAAAAACTTACTTAAAAGGCTCACCTTTATCAAATGCATGTGAATATCATTAGGTATGAAGAATAAGTATGAGATGGTAAGATAGGGCCAGAAAAAAAACAGAAAAAAGGAAGATAATGCAAGGAATAAATGAAAAGCAGAATCGAAGAAAAGAAGTCATGAGTAGTAAAAAAGGGTTACTATCAAAAACATTTACTTCCAGTGTTACAGTCACTGGCAAGAGAGCATAAATTAGCTTTCTAGGAAAGCATGACTTACTATCTTTTGCAGACTTCTGAGGATTAACCTAAGTAATTTCTACCAGTGTTACTTCTAATGCTGTCACATTGTCCTACTCAACAAAATCTCAAATCTCTTTTGTAATTTTTTGGGATATGCAATTTTGTAGATTAAAATTCACAATAGATGTCCCATCTGAAGAATGCAACCTTCCTTTCTCAAAGTTCTGATCCACTCCACCACTGTAGAGTGCTTCTGCTATTTAAAAGACCTACAAGCTCTGTAGGTGAGCTGTATAAGGTTTCACATTACTGGGCCATATGAAAAGGGGAAGTGGCTTTGTTCTTGAAGGATCTTCAGTTGATCACAACATAGTGCTACTTTTCTGCAGTAAGTTACAATAAGTAGGTTGTTAGGAAGATAATATACACATGAGATTTGTCTAGCCTTTTAAAACCAGTATATCCTTGGATTTCTAAATAAAAAAACAAGTAATACAAAAATCCTAACAGTAAATGGTAATAACTACCATATTTAGTTTATAGTTCATAAAAAACCCTTTATATTTTTCAATAAGTACATTATTTGGTAAGAATTATGGATTGATTTGATTAAAATTTGTTGTTGAAGTCTATTACTAAAAAAGAACAAACAATGATACAGGTCAAATTCAAACAAAAAACAAAAAACACCTACTCTAGTTGTTGCAATACATCTCACTGGAGACCTAAATTCTTCTTCCATTTTGGTCAAGGCAATGATGGTTTCTGCGATAGCATTTTTTGTCACTCGGGACCAAGCTTCTGACAGATGACCCTAGTAAGCAAAACAGGGTATTTTAATAAGTAACTAGAAGCATATTATCATAATAAAGTCTTCTCTCTTAAGTACTATCTCTTACCTAAAGGAAAGAAACTGCTGCAAAACCACATTAATTTTTGATAGAAGAACACAGGCTTTTGAGCTCAAAATTCTTTACAGCCCTATGAAAAATTCAAATTCTGTTGGGTGTGGTGGTGTACACCCGTAATCTTAGTACTTGGGAAGCTGAGGTAGAGGACTGCATGAATTTGAGGCCAGTTTGGGCTACATAAACAAGTTCAAGACCAGCCTGGGAATATAGTGAGATCTTTTCTAACAAAAAACAAAGCCAAGAAACCAAATTCTAAGTATTTTTTTTAATATGGGCTATTTTATGAATTTTCATGTCTTTGTTGCACAGGGGCCATGCTAATCTTCTCTGTATCATTCCAATTTTAGTATATGTGCTGCTGCAGTAAGCACTCCATAATCAACCATTTTTGATTTAAAGAAGATTAAATAAAAATTTAAGATCTCAAAATTCTTTTTCTATAGCGATTAAGGGCATTTCACATATGTTTGGATAAAAACAGTGGTACTATGGTATCTATACTTAAGATTTGGTATTGGAATGTTTTTTTAACAGAAAACATGTAAGAAATGTAGAAAGCTAACATTAAATGAGTATTTCTGGAATTCAAGAATATAAATGGGTTTATATTACTTTTATTTGCTATTCTGATTTTTAATGAGTATCATCACTTAATATAATTTATGAGTTCCTAAACATTCTTCTTAATGTTCATCTAATGAACATCCTGATAGAACTGTGGGGGACCGGCGGCAGCTGAAAAGTTAAGAAGTATGAAATATAAATGACCTTTATTTTGAGAATGTGGGGAGAGACACCCCCGATTCCCTGGGGTGCGGCATCTCCCCCTGGGGTGGGGGATCTCTCCGTGGAACACGTGGAGTGGGGGCCCACACGTAGCTTAGATTGGGGGTGGTGCCTGAGGGGGCATTAGGGATGCACAAGCAGCCCACTGGTATTCTTTTGGGGCCATAGGTAAATTCCTAGGGGTGGGGAAGATAGAGCCATAGGTAAATCCCTAGGAGTGGGGGATACAGGAGTTCCTTGGTTCGGCCTCTAAGGCTTCACCAGCTACAGTGTCCTGTCTGGGCCAAAACTCTTTCACATCCTAAGAAAGTTTATTTTCCACAAATATGGAAAAAATGGTATTGAGAAAAGTGATAGAACCTCATTCCTTCCTTGAATATCCTGCTATTCCTTATATCCACATGTATCAGTCTGTTAAAGGGCAGTTCAAATCCTCATCCTCAAAAATGCCTGTTGTTCATTATGGCTCTCAGGGACATATATTCCCCAGTACTTGTTCTCCTCAGGCTGCTTCCTGGATATACAATGGTGTGGAGAAAATTGACTCAATGGAGCAATTCATAAAAACCAGTTGGTCTGTGAAGTAATTCTCTGTTCTCATCACTCTTAGATCTACCCCTAAATCTGACACCTTACCACCAGTGGTACAGAACATTAATGAAAAAGAACAAAGGGTTTATAAATGATGACGACTGAAGAGAATAAAAAACCACCACTTCTGAGAGCCTCTCTCTCTTTCTCTCCCCGCTATTGGGGAGGGGATACAGGTTCTTTTTCAGGTCACAATCTTATTAAATTTTAAGGTTTTAGAAGTCTTATGTAATAATTCTCAAGTAAATTATTTGGGAAGTTTGAGTTGAACATAGTTTATATCAATGATCAAAAACACAAATAGCAAAGGACTTAACATACTAAAAATAGTCTCATAGTAAAATAACACTAGTGTGCTTCTATCAATTACACAGACTAAGCCATTCACTGTGTCAGTAAGATTCTTGCTGCATCTCCTGCTGTAACAGGCAGGATGAGACTTACTGCTGCCATATCCTTTATAAGCTTAATGATGATCTCTGATATTTGAGTAGGAGTTGAGCCCTTCATCCACCAATGATTTTCACCTCGTCGAAGGTAACTACAAACAAAAATCAGCATTTATAAACCAACAAATAGTTTGATAGTTGTTACACATGAAAGAGTAAATACTATTTCCGCAAATTTTTTTTATTTTAAAGAGAATAAAAGAAAACAAAGCAAAACAAAACAGAACAAAGAAGATCAGAGCAAAACAATGCAAATAACACACGACTGCAGAACAAAACAACAGAAAATCAATAGTGGCTACCATAATGTTTCTGTTTTCTTCAAAGTGGTTGTTCATACCTTCACACACAATAAGTTAATACAAATCAAAATAGTACAAAATAATCAAAGCAAAAGAATGAGAGCCTTAAGGGCTTTCAAGACCAGACACTAGGAAATCAATAATGGCTACTATAATGTCTCTTGTTTTCTTCAAAATAGCTGCCCATACCTTTATACATAATGAAATCAAATAATTGAAAACAGACTAAAACCAACCAAAACCAAGAATAAAAAGCATTATTGGACTTCAAAACAAAATGATAGGAAGTCATCAATGGCTACCATGGTATCTCATTTTCTTCAGTGTAGTTGTTCATACTACCACACATAATAAAATCAATTCTTGTAAAGCCTTCAGGTGAAGTTCTAGGCATACATAAGCCTATATGCATAGAAAAGGACATTTGTCCTTTGTGTAGTAGAGGGAAAAACAAAACAACAAATAAATAACTATAACTAAGAGCCCAAAACAGTAACAATGTAGGCTTTCAAAACAAGGTGGTAGGAACATAATAAATTTTGTTGTTATGCATGGTTATCTTCAAAAGTCTTACGTGAATTACCAGATATCGTCATGCAAAATTGATCTAGTCCTACAGATATTATTTTGTTCCAAGAACTAATAGAATGAGTAGTACAATCATCTTAGTAATCTTAAGTGTATATATATAAATTTATACTTTATTTCTTTTCTCTTCTTCTCAGCAAATATTTTTAAAGTTAATCAAAACATTACCTTGAATCTATCCCTCAATCTCAAGAGAGCAACTCGTCTGATTTATGTTCCATTTCAAACATTTCTCAATTTATAAATTACATTTGCAAGTATTTTCTAGAACAGTGATGTTTGAAGGATAGTCCATAGACCATAGATGACTTGTCTAGTGCATATGGCGATAGCAAAGAACTTGTGGCTGAATATAAACTTACTACATAACTAAGTAGACTACTGCTTACATCAGTTTACATTTTCTTCCCTATCAAGACTACTTACATGAAGAAAATGACACTTTGATTAATATTCTGGTGTTACACAGCTATTGTTGATGGCTCTATAATTGGCACTCTTCAAGATACCTTTAAATTTTTACTATTACATACATTCTAGAAAATCTTTGCACATATATCTCTGTGGACATATATGAAAGTTTTCAGAAAATGTGGTAGGTCAGAGATATCAAACTGACATCCAAAAATGTTTCAGCAATTTATAACAGATCAAAATGCCTTCATAATGTTGCTAAAGCATCAAAGATATTTTGCAACTATTTTAATCTATATTTCTCTGAGGTAAAATATCTTGTCATTTGTTTATTAGAATCTGTGATTTATTTCTTTGAACTGAGTGGTATTGTCCTTTAACTTTTTATACTTGTCTTTTTCTAGCAGGGTACTAAATACTAAGGCTAATCATTAAATCTATTATTCAGGTTTTGCCAAGTTAATTACTTGTATTTTGAAACATTTTAATTGTATTATCATTCAATTAATTTTCATTTTTATGTAGTCAAATCAGCGACTCTTTTAGGTTCTATGTTTTGTTGAGGAACTATTTCCCAAACTGAAGATTAGAAAAATATTGTATAATTTGTCCTGGTAGAGTTTTAAAGGAAATATACTTAAAATTTTAATTGATAGTAAGTTCATGCCCCCTGTCCCCACTCTAGTCAGGGTTATTTATTTTTATTACAGTAAAAAAAAATATGTAGCTAAGTTTTACTTTTATATATGTATGATGAGTTGGTGATCTACAACCTTTTCAACAAAGATTTTCAAATATTGTAACTTCATATTATCAGTTTACTTTCTATTCTTCAATAACTGAAAATGACACTTAAATGGCACTCCTTTTACACAGGATAAATCAATTGTCTATGGAGATCATTTGGTGAGTAAGACGACAAGGTAGAATTTGAAATGATATTTGAAGTCTTTGTTACTAAAACAGGCAATGACCAACCTGGAGTTAAATATCATTGGAAGGGTGACTGTTGTTACTCCTTTGCCCACAGCGGTACCAGCTGTTCCTGTGATGGTGGTTCCTTTGGCTTTCAGTTGGACAGTGAGTGCTTTGGCAATGCATCCTAGAAACATGTCCAAGATACCTAGCTTATTCCAATCTCCTTTCTCAGTTGAATGAATGATATCACTGATATCAGCTGGAGGGAGAGATTTTACTCCTATGATGCTGGCCAGACGAGTGGGGGTGACTTCAGGCAGAACTCGTCTTAGTAAAGAGGTCACCTGGTAAGGAAAAGAAAAAAATCCACTTAATATAAGCTACCATTCTGTAACTTCAAAATCCATGAAAAGAAAAGAAATATCATTTAAATACTATCTTTAATTTTGAGAAGGAAAGAAATATGCTTTAAACACTTTTCAATTTCTAGAGTGTTAATGATTGACCTAGAGCTGCAATTTCTTTTATTTCTGGTATGTTCTAAATGACATTATACATTTTCATAGCAAGAAAGTAATAAAAAGTAATCAATAGCTAGACATACTCTTTATCACAACACATCAGTAAAATGGGACATATTTTGTTCTTCATTGCTTTGATTACAAAGAGTAAAAATAAAATAAAATAGAGTCAAAACAGGCCCCAAATGAAATATGAAATAAAACATAAAATTTCACACTTAGATGATTTGCTTTGTTTTATCATTTTTACCACTGCTCATTTATTTTTCATGACGCTGAGGACTGAACACAAACCTTGTGCATGCTAGGCAAGCACTCTATAACTCTTTATTTTGTGATTTTTATATTTCAAATAACCAAGCAGCACAAAAGTAAGGGGTATGATCAGTCACCTGTCTCTGGACTCTAGGAGAGGCTGTATGAAGAAGGGAAAAGAGATCCTGAAGGAGAGTAAGCTGCTGAGCCAGATACTGCCGGCCAACATTAGAGCCACTCAGTGCCAAAACCATGGAAAGCAGCTCAAAGCAGTAAGCATCAGAGGAGGCATCTTCATCATTTGGTTGAGAATTGGCATTTTCTTTGCTTGATATGGCATGCTCCCATTCTTCACGAACCCTGGTGGCTTCCATGCGTATAGCTTGGACAATGTGAGCACACACCTATGTGAAGGCAACACAGAAAATCTAAAAATACATTTTAAAGTACAAGAATAGAAATTCACGCTTAATTTAATACTCCTCTAGTTAGTGCTTCATGTCATTCTCTTAACTAATTTTAAAAACAGTTAAGTTCCTATAATCCC